GCAAAAAGAACAAGGGACTTGGAAATGTATATAGGAAGAACTAGAAACTGGAGGAGGCAGAAGATGCTTTGGCTGAACTTGTAGTGGTTTAGAGCTCTCAGGAATGGGGCTGTTCCTCAGGGACTGCAGTGAAAAGCTGAACAATGGTGTATTGGCTCAGCACATGGAGCTTGCTTGGCCTTTTTTGAAAGCCAGTGGCTAATTCATACCCTGAAAAAGGAAGTATATCCTGGCCAGCTGGCTCAGTTTAAGAAACAGGCAAATGTGTAGCTGGAATATCAGGTAATGGAGGTGAAAGGCTGGGTGTAGGAAAAGTCAGCTGTGTGCAGGGGGCATGGAATGGAGTCACCCATCCATGAAATCTAATAAAAATTGGATCTGGTCATGATTAACTCAACATTTTCAAAATCCTTTTACGAGTTCACAAGGAACGTAATATCGAGCCAGCTCATAGTGGTGAGAGACCCCTAACTCTAATATCCCTGGATGTCAGCCCTCTGCTTGTTTCAGATTTTGATGCTGAACACTACTCTGCTTCTCAGTTCCAGCTTATTTATTTAGTATCCTTATTGCTTTATCTCACTTATAGAAAGCTTGTGAATGTAAGTAAGGAAAAGTACCTTATACAATAACTTCATCTGTTTGAGCAGTCTGAACAAAGTCTACATTAAACCCACCAACTGATACATGCAAGTAGTGGCAGAACTTCCTCTTGTGCCCAGAATCTGTGAAACCACTCAACACAGAGAATGGAGAAGTGTGAAAAGCAGCTTTGATGGGGCTCAGCCATGCTCGAACATCCCCTCAAAACAGGAAGAACATCACACTGAACTCAACACCCAGGCAGTGGCTCCTGTACCTGCTCTGTGTCAGACTCCAGAGTCAGTCCAGTCTTTCTTCACCCCCTGTGTGGGGACTCCCTGGACTGGGAGAATCCACACTGACCTCTGGCTCCTCAGGGGGAGTGCAAAGTGACCCTGAGGAAAACAGGATCAGTGAAGGATGTTGTTGGATCTGGACTCTTTCTGACAGGCTTTCATAAAGGTGTCTTTTAAGAGGCCTCTTTGCCACAATATATATTTTATGGGGAAGCAGATGAATGGCCAACAGTGATTACTGCAAGAAGAGGAATAGCATGATTTGGGGTAAATTTACCTGAGACCTGCTATCCCAGCTGAGACCTGCCATTCCAACCTGCTTGTCTTGCTTCTGTAATTCACTGTTGAAAGAACACTGTACTAATGTTGACCTAATCAGTGTCCACACTTTGTAATCAGTTAAAAACAGTGTTGCAAATGCTCATCTGACCTTTACGAGCAGTTGGGCACGCTACAGAGAGTCTCAACTATTTTTGCACTTCATGACCTTATATCAAATAGCCGCTGGGCTCCTTGTCTACAAACAGGTATGAAAATAATAACAAAAAAAAAAGAACTGAGTTGCACTGTCTCCTCTGCTTCCCTTCCTGATTTTAGGTGGTAATTTGCCTAGATAGACAGCAGCTTCCTTGTAACATAACACACACCCAGAGCATTCAGGTCTGTCTGTTGTTTTTACCCAAGAGGCAATGCCAAAGTGTCACTCATGTCTATCTGCCATGCTCTAAGGAGGGGAAAACATTCCCTTTCTTGAATACCTGGATCCATGACCTGGATGTGGAGATAGAAGGTTAGAGGAGCTGCTATTTCTTTATGGAACATGGGGCTCAAGATGGACCAAACTCATCCTGTAGTGAAGACTTTCATATTCTTAATGCAGCAGTTTAGGTGCACAAAACAATGCTCAGAAGAACATCTTAGAGAAGCCATCCATTGGTTCCCTAGGTGAAAACTGCCTCCTGAGGTTCATTCTGACTGCACCTATTTCAGTTTGTGCTTTATTGTAAAGACAGCTTTTCTCTTTAGTTTGTTTTCTTCCCCTTCTATATTTTTTTTTATTTTTAATTTAGAAACCTGCCTACATCGTGTCTCACTGTTTTGTTGGAAACAGATGGCCCTTCCTGAAGACACACAGTTGAGTGAACAGACACGGACCACTTTACCATGTGGTAGCATGTTTGTAATTAGATATTTAAAGTGCTAGACAATTACTATCGAACCTTGTCATGAGGGAAATTTAGGTCTGTGTTTACCAAGATCTGAATTATAAACTGGATCCCTGCCAGGAATCTGGCATATACTCTTGGGTATAAAATGAAAGAAGGCTCTGGTTGAATACTGAGTGACATTGATTAGAGCTACCACCTGCCCTGTCTCAGACATGATCACTCACCCCTCTCTCCTACCCCATCCTGTAGTTTTTGTTGACACTGTGTGTGATTTCCCCATCTCATAAATTTTGGGATCATAGGAATACCACCTCTGTAACACCTCTAGTTAAAGGCTCATCTTCCCACATGGTTTTGGACTACAGAGAGGTAAAAGCAGTTATACCCCAAAAGAAGCCAGTGGAGAACCATTGTCTCATTGGGAAAAAAGCAGATAAAGTTGGAGACGAGAATGGAAAGTGATAAATCAGGGGAGAAACAACAGGCGAGCATTACAGAAGAAGAGCAAGAAGTTCAGGGATTTATCTAATGCATAAGATAGTTTAACTCCTGCAAAGTTTTGCCCTAGATGGGAATGCCCAGGCTGTGGAAGTGGAGAGCAGCAGCACTGGGGAAGTGCAGCTGTGCCCCTTTCATTCCCTCTGGTTTTACCCTGCTTGAAACAGAAATAGAACAGGAGTCTAGGAAAGTATTGTGGAAACAACAAATGTTTGCAAACTATGGAAATGGTTAAAGTCACAGGTAAAGGAAAACCAGTTTACCTCAAAACCTCACATTTTATAAGTATTCCACTGGAGCTGCTCTACTCCAGTGGAATACTCATAATGGTTGTGAAAGACAAATTATATAATGGCTTCATTTATAAACAAACAAATAAAATTGTTAATTCTAAATTTGGATATGGATTTAGCAACTAAATGCTTCAGGGATAACTTGTTTTCAATGGGGAATTCTGTGAACAAAAACTGATTACAGGATGGAGCCAAATCCCTGCCAAAGGATACGAACAGGATCATGGAAGCAGATGAACAACAATTTCCCATGCACCAGAATCCACAATTGGGCCAGGAGCAAAATTAGCACAATCACAAAGCATTTCAAGAGCCAGGACTGAGCAATGGGAGAAAGCTGTGTACTTTCTTCTCTGTACCTGTAATCACTTGCAAGATCTTTCTGAAGAGAGGTATGTGTTGATCTTACAAAGAACTAGAACACTGATTTAAATATTCATTATATAATCAGGGGAAAGAATCTTGGAAAACTATGTGAAAAAAGTACTGTGGGGCTTTACAGAGTACAAAAGATGGGAGGAGAGTGATGAAGACCAGCAGTAAAACCTGGTAATGTTGTTTAAAATAAAATCGGGTTTAATTTATTGGTCTCTTAAGTTTCAAATTTTAAAGTAAGCTAGCCAAAGTAAGCATTTCCAGGAAGCCAGTTTTGGTTTGGACTCTTCATTGCGACATTAACTTGGATATCTCTTGCAGCATTGTCCTGTAATTCAAAATTTCTCAGGGAAATAAGGTAAATTCAGCTGAACAAGGTGAGTGAAACACAACTCCATGTGCAAACACAGAAGAACAGGTTGCAGAAGGCTGAAAGAACAGATGGTTGTCACAGGGACAAGAGGAGCTTGATAACAGTTACGGTGAATTAGAAATACCTGCACCGCAGCAGCGCTGGGCCTGTGGGCAGCAGTAAATCAGGGTTTGGTTTCTCATGACGTTCAGGATTATGCACCCACATAGAGCAGCCTCTGCCCCGACAAGCGCACGCTGTAATTGTCCAAACACATCCCACATCCTCGCTGGGGCTGGCTCAGGCCGCCGCTGGGAAGCGGGCCGGCTCTGTGGGGCGGCGGCGCTGTGGGGCGGCTCCGTGGGGCGGCCGCGCTGTGGGGCGGCCGCGCTGTGGGGCGGCCGCGCTGTGGGGCGGCCGCGCTGTGGGGCGGCCGCGCTGTGGGGCGGCTCCGTGGGGCGGCCGCGCTGTGGGGCGGCCGCGCTGTGGGGCGGCTCCGTGGGGCGGCCGCGCTGTGGGGCGGCGGCTCCGTGGGGCGGCTCCGTGGGGCGGCCGCGCTGTGGGGCGGCTCCGTGGGGCGGCCGCGCTGTGGGGCGGCTCCGTGGGGCGGCCGCGCTGTGGGGCGGCGCTCCGGGCGCGGGCAGGCAGAGGGCACTGTGGGCACACGGACACGGCCGCGGGGCGGCAGCGGCTCGGCCGGGGGCTGCTTCTGGGACGCGAATGCATCATGACTGCCTTTTATTAAAAGTAATAATAAAAAATAATTCGCAGCTCGGATAGGATTTAGCAATAGTGCTTCAGGGGAGGAGTTGTTTTCAACGGGGGATTCTGCGGACAAAAAGCTGGTAACAAGGATGGAGCCAAATCCCTTGCCAAGGATACGGACAAGGACCGTGGAGGCAGATGGGCGACAACGTCCCGAGCACCAGAACCCACAGCTGGGCCGGGAGCAAAATGAGCACGGGCAGAAAGGGGGCCAAGAGCCAGAAGGAGGAGGAAGAGGAAGAAAAGGAGGAAAAGGAAGAAAAGGAGGAAGAAGAGGAGGAAGATGAGGAAAAGGAGGAGGAGGGTGCGCGTCCCCCTTGCGGCTCAATCCGGGCACGCGATGACGTCATCACACCCGCGCGCGAAGCGCGTCTTCCCCTCCGCGCGCCCCTCGCCCCTCGGCACGCGCGCTGCCCGGCCAATGACAGAGGCGCGCCGCCGCAAGGCCTCCTGGGGGCTGTAGTCCAACGCGCGCCCCCCACCCCACCCGGCACCACAGCTGCGCGTCCCTGCCGCGACCGGGGCAGAGCCCGCCCCCCGCCCATTTGTGGGCGGGGCCCGACCGCGCCGCCGGCCAATGGCAGAGCGGGTCAAGGTTCGGCGGGCGGCCGGCGCAGCCAATGGGCGCGGGCGGGCGGTGGAGGGGGCGTGGCCAGCGGTGTTTTGTTCGGTTGCCATTGAGCAGCCCGGTCCATACGCACGGGGGAGGCGGCGCGGCCGCGCAGGTACCGGCGGCTGCCGTGGTGGGGGGGCGGGGGACGGGCACGGGGGAGACAACGAGCGCAGCCGGCAGCTAGCAACAGTCAGGCGGGTAACGGGTAACAGCCGTGTCGGCAACAGCCCGACAGGCAATAGCAGCCGTGCAGGCAGCAGCCGCGCTGTCGGCCCGCAGGCAGTGCAGGGCAGCGGGGAGGCAGCCCGGCCATCCTCGCAGCCCTTGGCGGAGCCCAGGAGGCCGAGCGCACCGCGCAGCTCTGGCGGGCGGGGCGGCGAGCGCGGCCCGGGGGAGCCTGCGGGGCGGGGGTGTCACCCCGGGGCTGCGCTTCCCGCAGCGGCACCTCCTGCTGCCGCAGGGCTGCGGGCTGCTCATCCCTCCGGGCGCCTCGGCAGATGTTAGGTAAAGCGGCGTGGATGTTGTGCGTTTTGTTGTCATTGTCCGTGCTCGGCCCGGGCCGCGCTCCCCTCGCCCCGCCGGGGCTGCTGCTGGGAGCTGGAAGCGGCCGCCCCGCCGGGAGGCGGAGAAGCCGTAACCCCCCAAAATGAAGTTAGCAGCGTTAATGGGCGCTGCTGGGGCGGCTCCGGCTGCGCGGCGCTGCCCGCTCTCCCGGGGCCTGGCCCGGCCCGGCCGTGCGGGGAAGGGAAGCGAAGCGAAGGTGCTCGGACATTCCTTTGTGCCGCTGCCCTGGAAACACATGTCTGCCGGCACGTACCCCCGCGATTTTGAGGCGATTCCCCCCTGTCTGGCTCAAGGATAGGGTTACCTCTGTGGAGGTGCCTGTTTTTCCACAATAGCTGCCTTCCATAATGATTCCAGGGTGGAAACAGCGGCTGTTTTCTTCCTTCCCCTCCTCTCATCAAATGGAAAGTTGATTTCTAGTTTATGGCCCCGAAGTGTAAGGACCAGTTGGGCTCAGTGGGCGAGTGAATGGGCTCTTTGTGTTATCCCAGCTTTTCTAAGGGCAGTAACATGGCTTTGTTCTGGTTATTTGGTTTATTAAATGTCTTCTGGCCTGCCGGAAGGCTGGATAGAAATGTGTGGTTGAATTTCTGGGTGCTATTGCAGGAGGTCGCTTTAGGTCCTATCAGACAGAGCAGACACCCGCTGTGGAGGCTTCTCAGGATTGGTGTTCAGGGATCTGCACTCAGGGATAGAAAAGTTCAGGCCTTTTCCCCTTTAGGAAAGAACATACCCATGCCAGCATTCAGAAGTTTTGGAAAAGCATCTTAGCTTTGGGGTTGCAGGGTTCCAAGGGACTGGGTGATTGTGTCTCTGGCTTTCACCAAGTCCTCTGCCTGGGGATGAGTTGGGCCAGCTGGTCAAATCCATTTTCTGGTTTGCTGTGCCTACCTTAAAATTAGCTCCTTAGAGCAGTTATTAGAGCCTTTGCCGTTGCATTGCCTCCTGTTAATTTCCCTTACTGATAGCAAATATTTTTGTCAGAAAAATAAATTGCCGTTTTTGGCAAGAACTAGTAAGTTTGTATCTCTTGTGGCAAGCTGAAACGTTTCTGGGTGTGTTTTAATTGTGAATGGTCTGCTTGCTTCTAGTTGAGCTTATGAAATGTGGAGCACAATGTTTGCTGAATAGCAGAAACTTTCCTGATGAAGCATGTTACTTGATCTGGTTTTATTGGAGGTGCAGTGTACTTGTTCAAGCCCAAAGAGCTTGTATCCTTGCAGTTACTTAGCTTCCAAAAATGTCTGGAAGAATTGTGCTCAGAGGCAGGAGACTAAAACATACATTTTAAGTAGCTCTACAAAAGCTGGTGGAACTCTGAACTAGAAAATGGGTTCACTACTCACTCTGAATTTCCTTGAAATACTGTTCATATTAACATGTCTGCTATTTTTAATGAGCCTATTTTTTTGCATCAGGAGCAAGATGCTACTCTTAATCATAAGGAAGTAAATGCTGCCTGTTAGATACAAACTCAAAATAGTGATCTGCAAGATCAGCCCCCTAATGATATGATACCTCTTTGGGATGTTCCTGTGGTAATCTAGCAGTCCTCTAGCGGCCTTTACCTGCCAGTGCCTAACCCATAGTTATTGTCGCTTTAACTGGGGAATTAAAGTTGGTTAAGTAATTGTAAGGGGTTATTTTGAGTTCAGGATGGTTAAACTTCCCTACTTTCTTTCAAAAAGCTGGTTTTCTACAGGGTACTATGATTAAGAAGAATGAGGAGGCTGAAAGAAGAAATATTTATATTTGCAACCATTGTGTTAAGATTTGGAAGTTTAGAGGTGTAAAGCTATACTTATGAAAATATGGTGGCCAGATAAACTGAAAGCCTGACTTTACTGAGAAGACTGCAATTTATTGCATGGATTGCTTTATTTAAAACAAAACCTTGACGGATTTATTCTTTCCTTTAGGAATTCCTTGAGAGTCTGGTAGCCATTACTGTGGCTCCCTTTTTTTAGTTCCTTCTTTTCCCTTCTCTGTGCTTTCTCCCCCTTCCTCTGTTGCCTCCCCCCAATCTACATTCCTTTGTGTTAGCAGTGATGATGGCAGTTCTAGTCACCTCCTGTGGTTTGATAGATTATTCCCTTTAGAATCATGGTGTACTTAAAACTTTCCAAACACAATTCTTTCCTTGCTCCTCCACTTTTTTGATACTGGCTTTGAGTTTTGTTCTAAAAATTTGTCCTCTGTATTTCTAGTTTGAGTTGTCTTAAAAACAAGTAAGAAGCCTTTAGTGGAAAATATTAGTATTTATGTTATGATTTACATTTCTTTTTGTGTATGTGGATGGTCATAATATAAACAGAATTTTTCTGTTTTGGCAACAGGGAGCTTCTCTCTTCCCTGCAAGCTCACAAGTTCTGTGCTTTCTTTTCAGACAAAACTTTGCTTGCTTTAAACTGTAATTTTAATTTGTGTTAAATAAACTTCTTGGTCTATTTTATTACTACATTCTTGAGATCTGGTAGTTACCAGACGTTGCAGGTACCCTATTTTTACATGCGAGAGATTCCTGTCCAGTGTGGAATTATCTCCAACATTTACTTTAGATATTGTAAGTAACATAACCCTATGTGGGGGGTGAACCTACTCACAAAAACCTGTGGAGGGCTTTATGAGCACTCCTGAAGGAAGGGTGCATCAGCACAAGGAAGCCCTGTTCAATCCTAGGGAAGAAGTTCATGACTAGGAATGCAGGCACTTGAAGTCAGTGCAGTGTCTGATACTTTCTTGGTAGGTAAATTTTAATCTTTTGACTCTGCACACCTGTGAGGGAGCCCCTTACATGGACAATGTGCTTTTTACGTGTCTTAGTTTGTGTCCTTAAAGAGATCTTGGCTGTAAAATACTGCAATCCAGTGATGAGTCTTTTAAAAAAATCACCTTCACTTTGTTGGTTTCTCTTAATTGTAAACACTCTGTTAGGGGAATTGAGACAGTCATAGTTTCAGAAAATGGTTTTCTTTAAGGATTTTTTTCTCACTCAAGAGGAGGCCTGTAAAAAAAAAAAGGGGGGAGGGGTGTGGCATATTTTTTAATTCCTTTCTAAGCTGCTCTACAATTTTTTTGTGATGATCCAGCTGGATATTTTGGTACTGTTAAGTATAGAGAAACCTGAAATCAAGGTAACTGTCAACTCCTAGCACAGCCCTTTCTACATTTGGTGCTGTTTTGGCTTTTTTTGTTGTTTTGGGGAATAATATCATTAGCAAGCTGGCAAGAAGCTGCTCAGCTAACTGCTAATGCTTTGCAGTGGGTGTAAATAACTTCTGAAGGCCATGTTGCTGCTAATTTTTAGGTTGAGGGGAGGAAGTAGGCAGGGTTGTTACTAAATACATTATCTGGGTTATGGCTCTTAGTTTACTGACAGCACTTTTTTAAAGCAAGCAGTTGGATATTGTGCTTTAAGGTAATAGGAAATGTTTCAATTAGGATATTTACTGAATTATAAAAACAGAATTATTATAATTGACTTTTTTCTGTTTGAACTAGTGTGTATTCTGGTAAAATGCAGCTGCCACATTTTGCAGGTTGGGTGTTAACATTAAGATCAAGGATTCTGATCAGCTGGAATTCACATCTTTGCTCTGGACCTGATATGACAACATTGTTTTAAGTTCCTGTGAGAGTTAAACTGTAGGAAAGCACCAGGGAGAATTGTCAGTGATGTATCAGGCCCAGAGCTTGGGACATCCATTGCCAGGGATGGCAGCTGCTCTCCAGTGTGTGTGTGGGTCTGTGCAGGTAGAGCCAAGGGTGTGAAACCTAACTGGATTTGGCCTGGAGCTTTCATTACAAGTGCCATTTACAAAACTGACTCTGGTACCAAGACCTACACGTCATTGTAGGGAGGGCATTTGAGCTGCAAGAAAGCTGTTCCTGCATTTGCTGAGCTTCAAATATGGAACACCCAGCGAGTACAGGAAATAGTTGAGGAAATAACTGCAGCATCCCTGTCTATACCTTTGCTTTTGTGCTTTAACCTGAGATCTGTGATGCTGGAAGACAGGATCTGAATTCCATTTTTTAAAAGGAATACCTGTTTCTCCTTAAGACTCCCCTCATCTAGCCACCTTTGTCAACCAACTTGCAGCTGCTTATTTGTTACATCACTCCAGTTTTCTTGGGTTATGAAAGATCACATTTTTAACTTGCCCAGTTCTGCATTCAAGTGAAGATATTAAAAATTAAGGAAAATCTGTGCTGTCCTAATAAGACCTCGTATAACAGGGCTGTGGCTTTTCTTCTATTGTCACCTCCCCTTTAGCCATTTATAGGAATAATAGAAACTTCTGTTGGTGTTATATTAACTTTAGGTCCCTAATTTGCATCTCAAATAACATTGTGAACAGCATTAATGCCTTCGAGGGGTTTGGGAGGTTTTTTAATTTGTAGGGTAAATGTATTTTTTAACCTAATTGGGCAGTTCAGATTATTATTGCAGCATGTTTAATTTTTGCTCTGCACAGCTTGTGTTGATGTCAGTGGCTCTAAATCATTCCTTCAGAGCTGTGCACATGTGTTATGTTTCACCTTCTT